AACACCACATCCCAACATTAAAATGACGTCAAGTGAAGAATACATCTACAACCTCTTAGATTCATACTGGTACAAACAACAGATTCTTACACCAAACCCACCATCAATTCGGATTCCCGATGCCTATAAGGAAGAATATGGATCTCCACCATCGCCCAAGGCACCTAAAGATGAGTTCATGGCGTTGAAAATGGGCAATTGTAGAAATGATGTGGAGATGAAAGGTCTATTAAGATTCTGGGCTCATTCAGTTGCTTCAATTTCCATATAAATCTTTAGCTTCCTCTTTTTCATCGATTTTTTAGTTTGAAAAGTAGGAATTACCACTTGATCTGAATATTACTGAATCAAGGAATGACTAGGATAGCATATAGGGTATATGTGTGTAGGTTTAATTGTATACATGTGTTTGGAGATTAAACAATTGCTCCATCGATCTGTTTCAGTTACACTACTTGCGAATCTGATAGATATAAACAATTTATATATTAGCCCCAAGTATAATGCAGTGTATGGATTCTAAAACTTTTGGAACCTGAATGCATGGAATTTCTCATATTTACTCGTGTACGTGATCCAATCATCAAAGACTGCATTAATACATGTTTATTAATTTATGTGATCAAGAGAGTTTACGTTAATTTTATGACGTCCTCTTCTATATTCTCATCGTATCATGTTTGGTAAAATCACAAAAGTAGAATATCTTAGCTTTTAAATTTTCTTATAAACTAGCTTTTTGATAAACTAAGTTATAAACTAAAAAGTAGTGTTTCAGCCAAAGATACCCGTTAAAACTCTATTATTAGACTTAAAGTTATTTACTACGTTCACTATTAACGATAAGATTGATTAAGTCTTTCTACTACTAGTAGATAAGATTATTAATTATTGTATTTGAATTAATCTTATCTTGTATTATTGGATTCAGTGTAAACATCAATATATACTAAACACTCCATAATTCATTGGAGATTGATAATAATCATTCTTATATGGTATCTTCCATAAGCCGCTCCTACTGCTCTTGTTGATCACCATGGCTAACGGCAATATATACCTCAGTGTAATATATTAATTTTTAATTCACAATTTAATACACCTGTCCAGATACTTATTCACAGTTTAGATACTCATTCACAATTTAATTCACCAATTCTAACATTTATTCACAGTTTAGTACATCAGTTCAGAATTAGTACAATCATTAATACACTAATTCTCAGTTTAATATATTTATTTGTTTTTAATTCACAATTTAATACACTTATCCATTCAATAATTGATAGTCTAATTCACTAATTTTGACACATCAGTCCAAATACTCACTACATTTTAGTTCATCAATTGTGACAAGTAATAGTTTATACTCAATCACAATATTCACAACTCACAATATTCACAACTTAATGTCTTTGATATCTCATTATGCATTTCAACAAACACATTGCATGTATATGATTTAATAACTTTTTCTATTTCAACAAAAACTCAATAAACCCTGACAAATACTCTAAATTAAATTGACATAAATTAGTGGCCAACTAATCAATCAAATTACATGAACTATTTTGTAGAAAATATAAATTTTAATGAAGCCTTTATATTAAAAAGTGCCAAACTAGCCCATAGAACCACACTTGCACGAATTCCATTAACACTAAAATAATCATAGATCTACTAACCAAAGCATAGACCTCCAATTCCTACCAATAAAAAATGACGTTTTATCATAGCTATGAGGATGCATAAAATCAAAAGACATTGAATTAATAATAAACTAGGTTGATTATTACCTGAAATTGAACACAAAATTCATCGCAGTCTGTGCTCATAATCCAGAAACTTGATATTCTTCTCTTATTTTATTCCTTATAATATTCCATCTTTGTTCATAGCCTTAATCTATAAAGAATTAATCGATATACTTAGATTCATTATTTCATCCATGAACTCAATTACGACACAATCGTGTAGCAATCACGATGAGAACTCAAGAACAATTCAAAGAAATTCTAAATTTTCAAGTAAATTGATTTTTCATATAAGAAGTTTGAATAAAAAAATGATGATGAAAATCAATTGTGTTTAAAAATCAGATCGATGATATGAATGTTTAGAACAAATATGAAACAAATAATATGTACGTGATTTATAATCGTGGATAACAATGAACTGACAAGAACTTTTCAGAAACAAAGTGATCTTGAATAGAATTAAAGGCTTGATCTAATTGGATATATGAACAGTAATCGTATCATGAGTAATAGATCAAAATTTTGGGGTTGATAAAAAGTAATTGAATATTTGATCAACTGTTCTAGATCACAAGAGATTGGGGAAACCTACCGGTAAGTCAAATCCTTCATCCTAAGTTGTACGGAAACGGATACGGTAATGAGAAACGCATATGGAACGGAAACGGGAAACGGCAAAACCCAAAAAATCAAGATACGGATACGGCAGAGATACGTCAATATAAAATTGTGTGTGTGTGTGTGTGTGTGTGTGTGTGTGTGTGTGTGTATATATATATATATATATATATATATATATATATATATATATATATTGATGTCAAGTCCCGCAATGGAGGTTGATCTATTGATGTAGTTGATGATCCTTGTGTTTCTTGAGAAGCCATAATCGATGATGTGATCAGGAATTAAGAGAATCAAGAATGGTGATGAATGATGATTGACGATCCTAGCGAAATGTGATCGATTAATCGTCTTTGATCGAGAAGACAGGAGACGACTCACGACAGGGGAGACTTTGACTGACGATCGGTTATGGACTTAAGGGAATACCAAATACCTTTTGAGCCTTAAAAACAACAGCCCATTAGTCTTTTTGGTTTTAAACTTAAAAAGCCCATGTAAACCTTAAAATAAAATAGAAACGGCTAGGAAACTTCATCGAAACTTCAAGGAAACTTCGCAGAAACGTTTCCATGATATCCGATACTTTCAAGAAACGTTTCCATGGAGTATCCGTTTCCATGGAGTTTCGGAAACGAAAATGGCAACCTTAGAGAAGTTTCCATGCATCATAGCCTTCATCGAATTAGGTTAAAATATCATCAAGTCCATACTGTTTCCCAAAATTATCGTTTAGATCTTCAAAGTCTGGAAGACCAAATGCTATTGCCCTAGTTATTTGTTTTCCATAGAACTCATTCCTATATATATATATATATATATATATATATATATATATATATATATATATATATATATACTAGCCGTCTACCCGTGCAAAGCGGCGGACGGCGAATAAATTGATCTCTTTAGAGTTAAAACCATTTTGTGTTCACTTCGAGAAATGAATATTAAATGACATCTATTTTTCAAAAGCATTATCATACCATATTAAGGGGGGTGTTTGACTAAGCTTTTTTAAAACAACTTATTAGGTTCAACATCATTATAAGTTAAAAAAGTGTTTGGATTAAAATAACTTATTCCGGTGGGGAACCTCTAATACGTCATTTTTTCATAAGTTACCCTACAATTACTTATTAACTTATAAGCTAATAAACTAATAAGCAATAAGCTTTTTTGCAAGACACCCCCTAAATGGTTATTATTTCCATTTATACATACCCAAACCACTTGTACTGTTTATCGTCCTCTTTTTTTTCGTTTTCCTTAATTCATTTATTAATTTAATGTCCTACTAAGTAAAATGCTAGAATATATAAATAATAGTTTATAAAATAAACCTTTAGAATATCAGGTATTGTGATTCAAAAATAGACCTTTGAGAAGGCAAAAATACTCAGGTGTCAACTTGTTCATTGTGATTTTAAACTAAGTTCGGTTACAAATTAAAACATTTTCAACGATGTTATGTAATTCAAGGATTCATATTGATTTAGGTTCTCGAAACCTTAAAATATTGAACAAAATCTATATAGAACCTTATAATAAGGACAATAATCGCTGTAATCAGGAAGCTTACGTGATAAAACTTGATATTATAACGAGCAATGATGAAAAATGTTTCATTTTTAGACTAAACAAGATGAAAAATACACAAACTACCTTAATCATGTCAAATCTTGTATTTAACCGTTCTTTATTGCAAAAATAAGATGTCAAAATATACAAACTAATGATAATACAATGTTCTAACTAACCCTCTTGGTTGAGTTCTTTGAACCTGCAAAGCCAACACATTAAAGAAACATAGTAAAACATTTTTAGGAACAAACCTGATATAATAAAGCCTTCACCTAATATATTTATAAGATAAAAATACAAAAAGTTAAAAAATGATGAAATCAATTACAAGTAAGGATTAAAATAAAAACAGATTAAGAAAGAGCCATCTGCAGGAGGGATATTTGAATCAACATGTATTTTCTGATAGTTTCAAATTTTGAATTATCCGAAATTTAGGGAAGGAGATAGAATTTGTTGAGAAATATAAATATCAAAACACATGTTAAAATTTAATATTATTTTATTGATGACTACTTCTACTATTAGATTAATGATTTGAACGTTTTTAAAAAATAATATTATTATATTCAATCTATTTTTAGAAATAGTAAGATTTCTTTTATAATATATATATATATATATATATATATATATATATATATATATATATATATATATATATATATATATATATATATATATAATATATATATATATATATATATATATATATATATATATATATCAGTGAATAAAACACAATTCTACCTCTCTATCTAACTGAAGCTTAACAGACTCTAACAAACTTTTCCATCCCGGATCAAAAACCTTAGAATCTGTGCCTGGATTTGAGTTCTTGGTCATGTGTTCTGATAGATTATGGAAGCAATGCATTCAGCTCAGCATTTTTGTAAGGACAAACTAAAACAACTCATAATAATTTATGAAAATCCCGGGTAGCGTTGCTTATGAACAAACGTTTTACCATAAAAAGTCTAAAAAGATATAGAATTCCAATAAATCGATTTAAATTTTGTGGATTCAACAATACAGGAAGCATTAAAAGCATAGAAATTGATTGTGAAGCTTTGAGCAATCGTGAGGGGTTAGCTAGTGAGGAAATTATCAACGGAGACTTTAACGACATGGAGGCGTTGTTTAAAGCGCAATCCACTATTTGCGCACACAGATTTCGTCTTCAAGATGATAAATAATTTCAGTCAAGTAGATCAATTGTACGGTAACATTGACTAAACCTCAACAGCTCAACCTCGTCGTCATTGAACCTACACATCTTTATGTATCATCCATTACCTTCCCGTCAAAGACCACATCTCCCTTCCTCTTTTTCCTACTCCATCATCATCGTCCATCTCTAGATCAGAAATCTCATAAGACCCACCACTTCCATGAGACCAACTAGATCCTTAAGGGTGGCGATGGAGATTGTTTCAACCCTACCTCCCATAAGTGAATGTAGTTCACCAAATTCGTCCGATTTGCCTCCGATACTCGAACTTTTAGCTTCCACCACTCTCACATTCTGTATCATCTTGAATTTCATTTGTTTACATATGGGAATGGGTAGCATGTAAGTAAATAGAATTTACATATGCATTATAGGTATCCCGATCAAGAATTTGAGAATGAGGGATTGGAGTCGCAATTTTAATGGGCAAATGGCAACCGGTGGAGAATGAGGAAAGGAGGGTATAGTTTAGTAATATTATTAACTAACTACAGATTTGATTTGAGGATAAATTGGGCATTTAACAAAGTTTATCAGAACTATCAGATATAACAACCCACGAACCACTGGTGGTAGAAAAACGAACCTAAAGGACGATTCGTGCAAAAAAACAAAGGTTGGAATCAATTTCAGATTTTCAGCAAACCATGCAGACCAATTATATAATTTTATCTTCAAGATATTTATGGATTATTTGAGACCATCCACCTATTATCAAATAATTCAGATTTGAGAATCAGAAAATATCGCTTTGCACACAATATGCACACGGTTTCATTTTAGATTATAATCACTAAGAATATATTTTATTCATATTTTTCTACCATCCGAGTATATACTTACTTGATCATGTCAAACTTTAATAATAGTGATTCTATGTAATAAGAAATTTATGATATGGTCATTTTAATGAAGATGAAGAAACAATAAATGAAGCTTTAGCCAAATTATAAAAAATAAAAAATAAAAAAATAAAAAAAAAACCTTTTTATTGTTTGTTGGAACATCGTAAATAATTGTTCAGTCTAAATAGACAAGAGGAAGTGGGTGCGGCCTGAACTGCACTCCCCTTGCCACATAAGCACAAACACCGACCCCTGGGTGCGGTAGGGAGTGCAGTGTGGCCTTCCAAGTGCCGCACCACTCCTTGGGTGTGGTATGAAACCACACTTAATGGTAACGGGTGAGGTGACGCTTACGTGTCATTGCGGTTTCATGAAAGAGTGCAACACCACTCCCTCCAGCCTTATACGCACACACATACACCTACTTTTGTTGTATAAGAATAAATGTTTAGAACCAAATATACGAGTCTATGATCACTTCTTTACTTTATAAAATAAAAGATATTGATTGTATTTTGTTTAATGTTAGAAATAATGTCTATTTCCTTACAATCTTAAGGGCGGTAGAATTTTGATGATTCATATCTGAATGGTGTAGAGACAAAATGATGAGAGGTTTTGTATGAATCTCTATCTGAATGATAAATTCATGTTAGGTTAGACATTCGAATGCCACTCTCTTAATGATGAAAATGATTGTGTTAACCTTCTAATTGTTTCCAATTAACCTTAGGCCTCTTATGTGTCATTGAAACAACTCAAGCTTTAGAGGCCAAAAATGTTTCACTATATACATGAGCTTAATGTCGATATAAATAACAAAGATACAAATAATAAATACAGTAAACATAAAACGTAAACCATAAACATATAAAAACTTAGATGCATAAAATACAACTTCAAGAGGTTGCATGATAGGTTTTGGGCTTCTTGATTATCAAGGTTGGACACTTTATGTTTTGCACACAGTGATTTCTCACGCTCCCAAGAGATAGCATGTCAATTTCAATGCAAATTTCATATTTCATAAACATAGATAATCATCTACAATAGTCCATAGAATTAAACATCAAGAACATTTACAGATTTTTAGCACAAACACAGTTTCAAATTATCAGGTAAACACATACACATTTGTTATTTTGAGATTTTCGAAGCAGCAAGAACAAAGCAAAAAATAAATAAATAAATAATTGAATGATTTCAAACAAATCCTAAAAAAATTGAGGATCAAGAACTTAGATGCAACGCTAATTGCATACAAATATAGAAGGACAAGTTTTTAGGGCCGTAAAAATCGAACAAAAAGCTTCGCGTGAAAAAAAAATGACCAAAAAGAAAAAGAGCAGAAAACTTAGTGACAAAGGGGGAGACGGCGAAGGCAGAGGTAGAGCAGCGTGCGGGCAGGGAGAAGGTGTAGTCGCCTTAGAAGAGGGGGATTGAGGTAGGAGAGTGTTCGATGTGTAGGAAGAGGAAGGAAAAAATGTGGGCGTGTTTTGTTTTTAGGGCAAAAGGTAGCAAACATAAGTTTTCATTCAGACTCACCCTCATGTCTTACCGATCCAAAACACTTTTTGTCACATATTAAGAGGATAAAAAATTTCAAACAAACACTCTGAATCTGAACGATCCAGAGCCAGCCACTTAATAGGATCATTAAGAGGCTAAACAAACAACCCGTTAATCACCCAACAAGTATGAGCACTACTGACTTAATATGGTTGGTGCAAGTTTATTGGGGACTAAAGCTGAACATCTTGGAATTTGAGGGTTTAATCTTCGAGTTAAATGTAGCTCTACGGAACTTTAAGCTGAAGCACAACAAGACACTTCACAAATGAGTTTGGGAGCTACTCGGTTAAAGGGTTGCAGGCTATTTGTCACTGCATAAGTATTTGTCCCACATTGGGTTCAAATTAATACATTATGTTTTTAGGCTATACACAATGTTATGTAGTGTTTGAGTTATCTTGTAAGTTTATTCAAATAATTGTTCAAGTTTCTTTGTATTTTTATTTTTCAATCTAATAATTGATGGAAAATAATTAAGTAGGCCAATTTTATTTTGAGTAAGTTACAAAAATGGTCAATGTGGTTTGTATTTTTTTTAATCAAATCCAGTTTTTTCAATTTCAACTTTAATGTTCCTTTGGTTTGTTTTGTCATGCGAATGTTCCTTACGTTGGACCGTTAAGCTTGCCCCGTTAAAGTCATGAAAAACTATTTAAAAAAGCTCTAGCAAGATGTTAATTAATACAAAGGGGCAATATATGTAGATGACTTTGGCACCAGTTTTCCAAATTCACATTTACATAATTACATTAGTTTTACCTCAAACCTTGAACCAATGAAAGGCTAAAGCCAAAATTGTGCCTATAAATAGAGTTATGGTGAGAGACTACTTTGGTATTTAACTATCATATATTAAAACAGATCTTACCACCATACACCTTCCTTGTGACCTGATATCCCTCCTCACTCTTTCCTCCGGTGAACATCCCAATTATCCGTGCAACCATGTTTCTAGTTTTTTACTTCCTTTCTCTTCACCAAGAAAAACCCATAAATCCCTTGAATTCACTATAAACAACAAGATAGAGAGCTACTTAATTTACTCTAAAATTCCCAATATCTATCAAATCAAACATAACATATCAAGATATGAAATTACCTCAACATAAAACTCTAAATTAATATGAGAAACGTTTGTATGTCAAAACTTATTAGAGGCATTTCAATGTCAACTAATAATAATCCAATGACAACATACAACATTGAAATTAAATAAAATATGACTACATTGGATAAACATACAAACTAGATCCTCTATAAAATTCAAATTTAACTATATTCTCTATACATAAGTATTTGTTCTGGTTTAATAGACGATCATGCCAATAGCATCGTTTATTGAGCCCTTGTGTTCTTCTCCTCAAAGTTCAATGAAAATTGCATATCACTTGCTTTTCCAAACGGATCCGATCCTTTCGTTAAGGTTTCATACGCTATGTCCACTTCATCTACCTACTTTCTCACATCCGATTCATGTCCTTTCACCAATGGAAACTGAAACGAATCATATATAGTTCGTTTTCAAAATGAGCAGATCTCTCAATCCCTAAAATATCCTTTAACAAACCATAAGTGTTTCTCATGCCCCTCTTTTGATTCCTCCAAAAAAAAAAATATCTCGTGTAAACCGATAACCGGTAATCCTAAAAAGAAAATAAGAAATTGACCCCTCGAATTGGAAACCATGAACCTACATGAGATTGAGAAAAGGATGGCAGGGTATAACCGTCATTTCGTATGAGCTAAACCGCGCAAAGTAAAAGGCGTCTAGTGCAGGGACCATTCACATGAAAAAACATTCATATGTAAGACTTCTTGTCCAAATTAAAAAGACTAGACTTGATTCAGGAAAAAAACACATACCTACAAGGACCATTTTTGTAATTTAAGATATTTAGAGGTTTATTTGCGAGCACTAACAACCACCTGTAAATCTGTATTAAAATAATTGAGAGTGTAAATTACAGAATTGGTCCTCTGTAGTTTGGTTTATTTTGTAGGTTCCATCTAACTTTCAGAAATGATATTTATGCATATTTTGTGATGTTGTATACTACTTCTTGAAACGCTCTGCATATTTTCTAGCTAAAATATGAAACTGATGTTAAATTCACTCTGAGCTCCCGTTATTTGATGAAGCTATGAAGCTGTATCAATCCCAATATATTGATTACCTTGACCGCCATAGCCACCACCACTATTAGTAACATGCCAAAAATAAAAAAATATAAACAATTAAAGAAATGGTCTTCTAGGTTCAAAATTGGTTTGCATCATCAGAGCAAAATACTACTTAGAAAAGGGTATAAATGGTGGAACCAAAGGATCTGCCAATGCGCAATTCATGAAAAAAACTCAAGGTTTCCATAAAACCTACCTCCTCTTAACTGGGTAAAAAACTATGTGGATGAAACAAATAAATCAGCTAATAACGATAATCTAGTCGATCAAATAAACTGAAAAAATAAAAGAGTGAGATGGAAGAAAAACCGTATTAGTATTTATTTCACGAGAAAAGTTGTAGGAATTTACGAAACTTACGAAATGG